GGGGGGGATAGTGCCCTCGGACCCGGGGCCGAGGCGGCCTCGGGCTCCGCGGGGCTGCGTGGGCGGAGTTGGCGCGCGCCCCGGCGGCGGCCTCCCTCCCCCACCCCGCGGAGGGCGGAGTCACGGTCTGAACGCGGTCTCCGGCCCCCGGAAGCCTCGAGTTCCTTGAGGGCGAGTTCTCGAGGGTGGGGAGGACGGGCAGGGACGGCAGCCTTTTGGTACTTGCTTGGTAGTCAAAAGACTTCCAGTTATGAGTGTTGCGGGGGCTTCTAGCCCAGGCTAAGAGTGTTCTTTGCCCAGTCTGGGGCTGCTCCGTTAGGGTCAAGGTTGTTTGGGAGGGTAGTGAAGATTTGTTAGTACATTCCAAGGGCAGTACCCTCCCTTGGGGACATTAAGGGTACATCTTTGACCGGATGGCCACCTTGTTTATAACCCTTACAGTGAAGGTTCTGTCAGGGCCAGCCCTTCTAAAATCACAAGGCTTCTTGTAAGACTTGTTGGCACGTGTCTTTACCATTTCAGAAAAATGTTCGTTGGTGGCCTGAGCTGGGATACCAGCAAAAAGGACCTAAAGGATTATTTTACCAAATTTGGAGAGGTCGTTGACTGTACAATAAAAATGGACCCCAACACTGGCCGGTCAAGAGGGTTTGGGTTTATCCTCTTCAAAGATGCAGCCAGTGTGGAGAAGGTAAGCTGCGTATTTGATGTCAACGCTCTTAAGTGTATCTAAGAGGATATCATTCTTAGAGTGTGATTAGTTTGTGTGTGCTGTAAGTGGTTGAGGGCTTTGGCAACAGCAGAGGTGAGGAACTTTCTTGTTTTTGAAGGAATTAAAAATGCAGATTAGGTAGAGCGATGGGTATGGACTAGAGTGGTCCAGGAAGATTATAGCTGGTGTTTATTATGTTTTTATGCCTACTCTGGGCATTGCTGAAGCAGATGCTTTATTGTGGGGATTAGAAAACAGTCCAGGGTTGCTATGAAATAAGGCATTATTTTAGGCCCAATTTGCAGAAAACAGACTCAGAGGTTTAAGTAGAAGAGCTCACACAGCTAGAAAGGGGTGGATTCCAACCTATACTCTAGATACTGCTGCTTTACTCCTGAAAGAGACCGGCTTTACACCGAGACTGGGCAGGGAAGGTGATGGGGGGGTAGCTATACTTGAAGTTTGGAGAAGTTGAGTTGGTAAGTCAGGTTCGGCGTAGAGTTTGGAGGGGACATACACATTTTGTGTACCAGTGTTGGGGTCTTTGTGTCTTAAAGAGAAGGGCCTTGTTCAGTGTCATGCTGCTGAGTTAGAACCTAATGTCCTTCTGTTGGGACAGGTCCTAGACCAGAAGGAACACAGACTGGATGGCCGTGTCATTGACCCCAAAAAGGCAATGGCCATGAAGAAGGACCCGGTAAAGAAAATTTTTGTGGGGGGTCTGAATCCTGAAGCCACTGAGGAGAAGATCAGAGAATACTTTGGCGAGTTTGGGGAGGTGAGTGTGTCACTCAGGGAGCTGTCTGCTGGTTGCCCTGAGGTTGTGGTCTTCCGGGTTCTTGGCAGCCTTGGCTGGCTCTAGCCGTCCTCAGCAAGGCTTCTTGTTCATTCTGGCCTTTGTGGGTCTTTTCTCCTGGGAGTTCCCTATGGGTCCTGGGGTGGGAAGAGGCGTTGGTTCTGAGCTTTGTGTATGTTTACAGATTGAGGCCATTGAGCTTCCAATGGATCCAAAAACGAACAAAAGACGAGGCTTTGTTTTCATCACCTTCAAAGAAGAGGAACCTGTGAAGAAGGTCCTGGAGAAAAAGTTCCACACCATCAGTGGAAGTAAGGTAAGGTGTCACGAGCTCTGTATCTGGCCACCTGCTGGCGAATTGGCTTTTACAGGTGTGGGTTAGGAGGTGGACTCTCTAGGGCAGTCTGACCCGACTGTTTTTCTGTAGCGTCTGCTTTCCTGATTGGGGCAGATGGTCCTGCCCTTCAGGGGGTTCCGAGGCCGGTAGAATTGGCAGAAACACAGGATGTGTGGGAGGAAGGAGAAAGGGTGGTTTCTGTGGGGTAGAGGGTGTTGAGTAGCCCCTTTGATTTCTGATTGAAAGCTAGAGGTCAAGGTGTTCTGAATGTAGTCTTGAGGCGAATAGGGCCTGTAGTTAAGGTCTCAGAAGATTCTAGAACTTCTGTCATCTAGCAGTTCCCTGTGAAGTCTTTTCCTGCTCTGGAACTTATTATCTCCTGTCTCGCCACAAACAGATCTTTGTTCACTTCCACCCCCTTTGGATGCTGGTTTAGTGAACTCCCACCCCAGGTGAAGATTCTTTCCAAAGCTCCCAGGGTTTCAGTGAGCTGGCATCCATGGCCAGTTTTACCTTAAACGAGCTCAGTGCTGTGCAGGGAGAACTGCAACCCTTTCCTCTGAACTCTGGTCAGGCCAGAGGTAGTTTGTCTCAGGTATTCTCCAGGTGGCTTAGGAGGCAGTTGAGGGTGTGGCCTGCTGTGGCTGGGTGTGGCAGGCCCTGAGCCACAGGAGCAGCCAGATAAGGTGGGACGGGTCGGGTGGGGCTTCTGGAAGTCTTAATCATGGCTGGGAAGTTAGAGTGGATTCAGGATTGAGCCCTTAAATGATGTTGAATCCTAGGAGCAGTTGGGTAAGAGCTCGCTCATTCATTGTTCCTCCAGTGGACAATGAATGACACAGAGGTCTTTTTTTTCTGTGTCTTAACTGTGAACTGGATAGGAAGTGTTTGTAAGGTAGTAAATTATAACTGGTAGTGGGTTTTGAAATAAATGTATTTGGCATTTTAATTCAACAGAAGACATCAGATGGCATCATTTGAGGGGGAAGCTTGTTAATTTTTTTGAGTTTCGAGGGAGAGTATGCTTGTATGGTGACACATTATATGTTTTTTTTTCTTGGTCCTAATTAGGGAGGTATATGTGCCCAGGTATTTTCTTTAAAAAGTAAACTCCTGATTTAATTAGGAGCACTGGGAGGTCCTGGACTCTCATAGCACACACAGTGGGCAAATTTTTGAGCAAAAAAAGGATTCTTTGCGTGCTAAGGGGACACAGATTCCTGGCCCTTCTTGACAATAGGCCAGTGGTTGGGGGAAGGTGGGGTGGAGCCGTAGGGCCTCAGGGAAGCCTTGTCCTGAGCTTCAGTGGTTTTCATCCTCCAAGCTGAAGGTCACCACCTCAGTGTATTTGAGTGGGATGCTTCGTTTCTTCTGTAAGAAAAAAAAAATTGAGAAAGGTGGTTTGTTTCTTTTTTTTTGTTTCTCCTATAAGGCTTCTTATTTGGGAAGCCACCTCTCATCCCCCTTGCCCAGTAGGACCAGGCTGGCATCAGACTTGACCCTTGATATGGGATCTTGCTACACTGGGTTGGCATTGGCCTCGCTGTCCATCCTCCCAGTTAGACACAGAGCTGCCCCTGAGCAGCCATCAGCAGGCCTGGGGTTGTATCTATCATCCCCAGTAAGTTCTCTGGGGAAAGGTTTCGGCCAAAAAGACCCTAGTAATTTCTGGTCTATCTAGATTTTAGTTGTGGTCCTGAAAGTTTCTAGCCTACACGTGGCTTCTGACTTGAGCATATTTTGTTTTGGGGCAGGTGGCCGCAGGTGGCTATCTGAATGTTTGTCAGCAAAGGTCTTTGTCCACAGTCCCTGCCCGGAGTTTGTCATGGTGGCCTGACCCATTGTCTTCTCTGCTTTCAGTGTGAAATCAAGGTGGCCCAGCCCAAAGAGGTGTATCAGCAGCAGCAGTATGGCTCTGGGGGCCGCGGGAACCGCAACCGAGGAAACCGAGGCAGTGGCGGTGGTGGCGGAAGCGGAGGTGAGTGGAACCTGGATGAAGAAGGGTCCCTGCCTGTGTGGAGCTTCCGTGCCTATCTCAGGGCTCACCCTGGCTTCCGGGGCATGGTGCGCCGGGGCGAGTCACATCGGCTCTGCTGCTGCTTGGAATGGAAGAGCCTGGCTTTCTCATGGCCTGGGGTCCCAGGGCAGAGGGGCGATTGCGTTGCATTTGGAGGGGTGGGGGGCACAGGGTGCGCTTGTCTCCACGGCTGTCCCGAGTCTTGGTACACCCGTGGGCGGGCGGGCAGAAGGTAGGGCAGGGCTGTGCCAGGCGCTTTACCTCCTTCTGTCCAGGCCCCTCTGACTCCAAAGCCTGAACTTCATCCTTTTTAAGGCCGAGCTGCCGGGGAGGGTGGGGGTGAGGAGAGGGAGATCGAGTGAGAGTGAGCTCCTGTCTCTTTTGCCCTGAGTGAAGTCAGTGTTCAGTCCTATCCCGGCCTGCAGCTCACAGGCTCGGGTCACAGATGCAGGGCCGGGCCTGGGGCCCTCCACACTGGGACGGCAGTCCCTTGGCTTCTATCTCCCGAGTTGCCATTAGCAGCCCCGCCACCCAAAGGGCAGGATTTCCTCCATCCTAGCTCCTGCGTGTGCTAAATGGTCCACGGGCCCCTGTGCCCGCTCCCCCCACAGGTCAGAGTCAGAGTTGGAATCAGGGCTACGGCAACTACTGGAACCAGGGCTACGGCTACCAGCAGGGCTACGGGCCCGGCTATGGCGGCTACGACTACTCGCCCTATGGCTATTACGGCTACGGCCCCGGCTACGACTACAGTAAGTAGGAGAGAGGGAGGCCCCGTCTGCTCACCCACCCTGGGAGGCAGGACAGACAGCTCAGGGGCCACTGGCAGCAGGGGCTTTGGAGTCGGACAGGCTGGGCTGTGTGTGGTCCGGCTCGGCCACTAGAGCTCCCCGGTTTTGAGCTCTTGAGCTTCTGGGCCTCAGGAAGGTGGGGCACGGACAGACCCCTGCCGGACGGGGCTGTAGGCTCCGGCGAGGATGCATGTCAAGCGCCTGGCACAGGGGTAAACGGCTCAGTAAGTCGTAGCTGCTATCGTTGTTGTTCTTGTCCCTAGGTCAGGGTAGTACAAATTACGGGAAGAGCCAGCGACGCGGTGGCCATCAGAATAACTACAAGCCGTACTGAGGCTTCGGCAGGATGCCCGACCGATCGCACACGCTTTGTTTGGATATTGAGTGAACACAATTATGTACCAAATTTAACTTGGCATACTTTCTATGGCCTGTCCCATGTGCATCTTATTTAAAATTTCCCCCCTGGAAATCACTTTCCTGTTGACTACTTCCAGAGCTCTAGTTGTTGTAGGCAGCGTGTGGGGTCTCTGAGGCCAGAGCGGCATTATGGGCTGATTTTATTCCCGGGTTACCCAGAGCCAGATTGGAGGGTCTGCTTCCTGCTGCCGCTCTGCAGCCTGGACCTGTGGACCCTGGTTGTAAAGAGTAAACTGTATCTTAGGAAACCAGTGTCACCTTTTTTTCACCTTTTAATTTTATATTATTTGTGTCATACATTTCCTGTTAATGGAAGTGTTAATTTTACTGTACTTTTTGGTACCTTTTGGGAATCTAATGTATTGTAAGGTATTTTACACGTGTCCTGATTTTGCCACGACCTGGATATTGAAGCTATCCAAGCTTTTGAAATAAAAATTTAAAAACCCCCAAAGCCTGGGTGAGTGTGGGGTGTGCTGTGGAGGAGAGCGGGGAAGGGCCAGGTGCTCCTGAGCCTTCGAAGCTCCAGTACCCTCCGTGACCTAACAGCAGTCCTGTCCGGCACGGCCATAGCCTGTCAGCCACAGGGTACTGCTGCTCAGCTGCTTTTAATGATCTGGCCCTGCCCTTCTAGAAAAAAGTTCAGTGATTCAGAGTGAAGGCAGCTGTTCAAGGGGGTGAAGGTGGTACAGTGAAGGATGCCCCAGCGCAGCAGGACGTTGGGGCCCCTTCAGACATCTCTCCTTACCTTGCCAATGAAAATAGGATCCCGTCTCCCAGTGAGGACAGTATGGTCCCGTAGACCAAGGCAGTGTCATAGGAGCCGGCTCGATTTGGACACGAGGGGCCCCTCCTGGGTGGTGTAGTACAGCCCACCCTGCCCTGGCAGAGCCTGTCTGCTGCCTGTATTGGGACGCCCAATCAGGCTGGTTAAGGCCTGAGACTAGCTGGCTGCAATAGGCGGCAGTGGGCTAGGGCCCTAGATGGATGAAGCCTGGTAAAAAAGAATTCTGTTTTCCATCACTTCTAGAAGGAACTGGCTACTTCTAGGAGGAAAGTGCTACTCTTGCTTTCTCATGTCAGCTATCAAATGCAACTATTGGAGATTTTTCTGGCAGGGTGTCTGGAAAGGGCCCATTGTTTCAAGCCTATCTGGGGGAAGGGAACATCACTTGGAACAAAATGTTAAGAGAAAGCTTTGGCTTTCTGAGTGAAGGAGCCACCGCTGATGGCAAGGAACCCAGGTGTGGGTCTCGAGAAGCAAGGCCCACTCACCCAGAGAAGAACACCACTCCACAGGGCTGCCTCAGGGCTGGAGCCGCAGTGTCTCACAACTTCTCACCTTTTCTTCCATGTCTGAAAAACATCACAAAGGCACCCAAACAAGTTAACCTTTCTCTAGTGTCCAAGCTTCTTGGTTGATATTCTGGACATCGAGCCCACCAGCCTGTCTGGCCCCTTGCCCCATGTGCATGGGCCACCAAGCCATGTTTCCTGAGACTTCAGGCTCAACTGCAGCGCCCCCTACACACAAAAGCTAAGCTAGCTAGTCAGCCTCTCCTCCCCTGGGCTCCCCACGAATACACTCCCTACGGCGGGTCCCACACCACCTCCAGTTGTGTCTGCTGGGGGAGGTGAGGGGCCACCTGCGGGGCTGCTTTCATGTCTACCAGGAGATGGGATCTTGCCTACTTTGCCCACTCCTGCTCCTCCCAGCCCTACACACCCAGCACTGCCTTAGTGCATTCTAGATTGCTTTGTAAGTGCACTTAGGGGACACCCTGGACTGACCTTGATGTTCCTGTGGGATTGGGAATGTGGAGAGGATCTCCTTTTGCATTTAATCAGTCCTGGCTACAAATCTCCTTCCAATAGCTCTGCAGCTGAGGGTCCCCTAGCCTTCAAGTAAGGCACGAAGTTCCTGCCATCTACCTTTCTATGGTTTTACTGATCCATGGTGGGGTTTTCCGTTGTAGTTAGCTTGTCCCGTGTCTGCATGAGTGCCACCCTGGCAGGATGGTGAGTGCCCTACCTAGTTCCTGCTTACTTGGTGCTCAGGAAGGCCCTCTAGGCACAGCCAGGGAAAGGGGTGGCTTGGGTTCCCGGGACCCCTCCACACCTCAGCTCCTTGTTCCCTCCGTCTCTTCAAAGACTCCTGGCTTGCTGTTGAGCCCCTTTCCTGGGCAGGCTGGAATGTCCTGGCTATTGGCTGCAGGTTGAGCTCTAGAGACCCTCCTTGGGCTCCCAGCTTACTTGTCAGGATGGCATCCATCTTGGCCACCACATGTCGTGCATTGTCCACACTGAAGCACATCGGGGGTTTAAACTTGAGGACGTTCCTCCCTGGGCCATCAGTGCTCAGCAAAATGTAGTTCTCCTTCATCCTGTGAGGGACAGGATATGGCAGAGCCTTCTCTCCCCGGTTCCAGCCACACTACCCTTGGAGCCCCACCACAGGTGGGTTCCCACCAGGACACAGGACTGGCTGCCTCTTCCCAAACACCTACCTGCCCACCCTTTGTAGCCCAGCATGAACAGCTCCTACCTAGGGTGTCCTGCACCTGTTCCTGAGTCTGCTTCCTCCCCCACCCAGGGGAGGGGCCTCACCTTGTTGGTCCCGGAGTTCCTGTCTAAGCCAAGACTACCACAGCTATGATGTAGACAGCAAGGATCCTTTCACTTACTGGTGTTACAGACTGGTACAGTGAACCCGACACACTCCCTTACCTGGCTTCATAATTTCCCTGCCAACCTTGTTTCTGTTTTCTTCCCGTAAGTAATCTTGAAATCCCAGAGGATTATGCAGCTTTAATTTTCCATTTCTTTTTAGGGAGATGACTTCACCCTTAGTTTTAACCAGTTTGTAAGAACCTTCATATCTCACATGTACAGCTTTTAAACTAGGAAGGTGATTTGGCCAGAAAGGAGACTGAGCTGATGGTTATTTCACATTCTCTGACCCCCACTTCCATTCTTTTTTTTATTCCTTTTGTTATTTTCAAGTCTTGCCAGGAACAGACTGCGTCCTCAGTCTGCCTTCTGCCTCCTTTCTTCCATACGTTCTTCCTGGCATGGACTATGGTTGTACTAGAAAGAACAAGGTCCATACTTCACATCTCGCTGTGCCACCTACAAGCAGGCCAACTGTGGGTACACCACCTGCCCCTGGTTCCAGTTTTCTCCCTGAACTGGAGAACTTGCGTGAGGTGGAAGAAGTCAGGCCCGGCTCCAGGTCTGGCTCCCTCCTCCCACAGCTTCTGGGTTCTGAGGCTCCGTGGGGGGAGGGGGAAAAGGAGGTGTGGTGGGTGAACTGGTGGGTGTGCCCAGCCAGCAGAGGCGGCGGGGCCGGGACCCCCCAAAAAAGGGGTCAGTCTCAAAATCTGGAGGAGGAGAACATTTTTTTTTTTTTTTATAAATTTTTTTTTTTTCAACGTTTATTTATTTTTGGGACAGAGAGAGACAGAGCATGAACGGGGGAGGGGCCGAGAGAGAGGGAGACACAGAATCGGAAACAGGCTCCAGGCTCTGAGCCATCAGCCCAGAGCCTGATGCGGGGCTCGAACTCACGGACCGCGAGATCGTGACCTGGCTGAAGTCGGACGCTTAACCGACTGCGCCACCCAGGCGCCCCAGGAGGAGAACATTTTTACATCATTACTGTTCGTGGGTTATCAGAATCGAACGATGCGCATTTCACACTGAATAGGGACACACCAGAAGGGTTTCTCAAGGTGGGGGAAATGGGTAGGAGTAGGGAAGGGTGATAGAAAGGGAGTAGCAAGGGGAAGGGTCCCAAGGCTCGGGTCCTGAGGCTCAGGTCCTGGATGGGATCAAGTGCAGGAACATGCAGATGGGCTGGGGTGGGGGACTTGGGAGTCCGGAGATGCTCGGTCACCCAGATGCCTTGCACCTGTCCATCTCAAACCCACTCCTCTGGGGGACAGGGAGCCTTGAGTCTGCTTCTGCCTCAGTCCCTGATGTGGCTCTGGAGAAGCTTCTTCCCCTCCGGCAGCCCAGGTCTGAGAAGTGTGGCTTTTGGGCCCTGTGGCTTTGGCATTCTAGGCTGGGAATGGCCTGCACCCATCTGAAGCTTTTGCAGCCACACACAGGCCACAGAGCTGATGCAGCTGCTTTCCCTGGCTGGAGAGCCAGGGGGCGCACAGATGGGTGGCCCATTCCCTGCTCAGGCCCAGATGCCCACTCTGCCTGGGAACACGGTGACAACAGAAGTGAGAGGGAGGCTCTTGGTCAGGGCCTTAGACGCTGCAAAGGTAACTCGTCTGAAGAAAAAATACCTGGACACCACGTAATTGGCCTCTTCAGTTGCTGGCGTCCTGGTTGCCTCGTCTTTGATCAGGTCCACACCGATGAAGAGCCCAGTGCCCCTGGAGCAGAAAGACAATGTCTTAGGAGGCCAGGCCCAAGGGACCACGGTCCTGGGCCTCAGCCGAGCCCCTGTCAGCTCTGGGGCTGTTCCTCGGCCTCTTGGGGAGGCTCAGGGGAGGCTAAGTGCCGTAGGGACTCTCAGAGGGTGGTGACCCAGTTCTAGGAAGTAACTGACGGGAGGGACCCCAGGGGTAACAGAGGAAAAGTTGGGGGTCTGAGCCTAGTTTGATCCTGGTTTTCCCTTCCCTAGAAGCACCATTGTGGACAAGAGCACCTCTCAGTGCTTTAGTTCTGTGGAGCAGAGAGAAAAATCCCACCCCCCAGCCCCAACCCGGGGGGTTAGGTGATACAAGAACCCCCCCCCCCCCTCACTTGGCCCCTAGCAGCTGCCCTGAGCCTCACCTGACGTCCCCGATGATGGGATGTTTGGCTTTCTGCTGTCTGAGGAGCTCCGTCAGGAAGCTGCCCACGGAGGCGGCGTGGGCCTGCAGCTGTTCCTTCTCTAGGACGTCCAGGACGGCCAGGCCCACGGCGCAGGACACCGGGCTGCCTCCAAACTGAGCCGGGGCACAAAGGGCGTGTCAGATGCTCAGGAAAGTGGGCTGTGCCTCAGGGAGCATGAGGGCAGAACTGCCACCCACGTTCCAAGGGCAGCGACGAGCACAGGCCCGAACCCCTCAGAATTCAGGGGACTCAGGCAAATGGGGTTCTCCTGAAGCCCCCGTGTGCTGTCCTGCCTTTCCAGGTGCTGATGTGACTGTAACTCAGGTAAGGCACCCTCAGGGGTACAGGAGGAGCCCCAAGAGGCAGAATCAGAGGAGAGGAGTGGTCATTCCCACAGAGCTGGTTTTTGTCAAGAGGCTTTAGGGCCCCATCTCCCAGGTCAGGGCCAGACCCAGAGCATTGGACTTGTTCCCATCACCTCCTTCAGAGAGGGTCAAGAGCACCATGCTGGAGCCACACCCAGGAAAAGCCACTGTGTCATTTGGCTCAGTGTTCTGTTTGACAGATTTTAGGGTGCAGACCATAAGTCAGCAGACCGTAAGCCACATGTGGCCTGAGGATTTGTGTGTGGCTTGCATGGCATCAAAAGCTTTGAATTAGGTGCTAATGGTAAATATGTATTCTTGACTTAAACCTGGCCTGTCTACACAGGAACTGGCTGTCCCCTTTGGGCACCCTGACTGCTTGGACTCTCTTCCTCTGCCTGGCTTTACAGGTGTCTGAGTGGGGACCTGTGTTACAGAAAGTTAGGAGTAAGGTGGTCTCTTGCAGACTATTTTTGTTTTAAACATACTTAAAAAGAAAACTATTGAGCTATAGTGTATATACAACAAAGTGAATATATTTCCAGTGTATATAGTTCAGTGCAATTTGACAAGTATATAGACCTGTGGAGCCTCCACCACAACGCAGATACCAAATGTTTCCACCACCCCCTGAAAGTTCCTTGTGTCCCTCCACTACTGGCCCAGGCAACCACTTGCTGTCAGTACAGTTTTGCCTTTTCCAGAATGTCGTATGAATGAAATCGCAGAGGATGTTCCCTTCTGTGCCTGGCCGCTTCTGCACAACATGGTTTTGAAAATTTCCTGTCTTGTGTGGATCAGTAGTTTGTTCATTTTATTGGTGCTAGTATTCCACGATACGGATGTTGCCATTTGTTTGTGCAATCTCCCGTTAATGGCCCCTTGCGTTATTTTTTTATTTTTTTGGCTATTACGAATAAAACCGTTGAGAACATTTCTAACAAGGCTTCGTGCAAACGTATGTTCTCATTTCTCTTAGGAGTGGAGCTGCTGGGTTGTACGATCAATGTGTGTTGAGCTTTATAAAAAAAACTGTTAAGACTCTTCCGAAGTAGTTGTCCTATCACATTCCCATCATTTGTCTACAAAATTCCAGGCGCTCCCATCCTCAGAAAGGCTTCGAATTTTTTTCTAATGGGTGTGTAATGGTGTCTTGCTAGATCATCTTCAAAATCTGTGAGCAGAGCCCCATGCTTGAGAGCATAAGAAGCTTCCTAGGTGAGTCTGCCATGAGGTGGATTTCTAATCCGTCCAAAACAAATTATGTGTGGAACGGACACAGGGGATGGACCAAGGCTACTTAATGTATGGTATTATAAACCATGAACTTGTTAAAAGGTGGAGTGTATGTATTATAGCATCTTTTGTTTGGAACCATGACCTGGCCAAGATGCTGAACTGGCACAATAGACAGGTTGACCTGTGGCCCCAAGATCACTCCAGAGGAGCAACAGAAGATGAACAAGGGGCGCCTGAGTGGTTAAGTCTCCGACTGATTGTGGCTCAGGTCAGGATCCCACGGTTTGTGAGATGGAACTCCGCGTCGGGCTCTGTGCTAACAGTGCAGAGCCTGCTTGGGATTCTTCCTCTGTCCATACCCCACATGTGCACATACATGCACGTGCTCTCTCAAAATAAACATTTATTTTATTTTATTTATTTAACATTTATTTATTTTTGAGACAGAGACAGCATGAACGGGGAGGGTCAGAGAGAGGGAGACACAGAATCTGAAACAGGCTCCAGGCTCTGAGCTGTCAGCACAGAGCCCGACGCGGGGCTCGAACTCATGGACTGCGCGAGATCATGACCTGAGCTGAAGTCGGCCGCCCGACCGACTGAGCCACCCAGGCGCCCCTGACAAATTGTTTTTTAATGTTTATTTTTTGAGAGAGAGAGGGTGCAAGCAGGGGAGGGGCAGAGAGAGAGGGAGAAAGAGGATCCAAAGCGGGTTCCACACTGACAGCAGACAGCCCAATGCAGGGCTAGAACTCATGCACTGTGAGATCAGGACCCGAGCCGAAGTCAGGTGCTCAACTGACTGAGCCACCCAGGTGCCCCAAGAGACAGAAATTTCAAAAAAGAACTAAATGGGAATTATGGAGTTGAAAAGCACAGTAACGAAAAATTCACCAGAGAGGCTCAACAGTAGATTTGGGCAAAGAGATGAAGGAATCAGCAGATTTGAAGATCTGTCAATTGAGATAGTCCTGTGTGAAAACCAGAATGAAACCGTGAACAGGGTTTCAGCAACCTGTGGGACACAACGACGCAAACCAGTATTTGCAAATGGGAGTCCCAGAAGGAGAGGAGGAGAGGGAAAGAGACACAAGGACAAGGAAAGTAGGAGAAATGGGTGAAGGTGGTCAAAAGGTGACAAATTTCTAGTTATAAAATGACTACATCATGGGGATGTAATGTGCAGCATGGTGACTGTAGTTAATGATGCCGTATCGTATATTTGAAAGCTGCTAAGAGAGTAGATCTTAAAAGTTCTTATCATGGAGAAAAAAACATACCTGTGTGGTGATGGATGCTAACTGGACTTGTGGTCACTTCAGAATACAGACAAATAATTGAATCATGTTGTATGAATCTAATATAATACCATATGCCAATTATAGCTCAATTAAAAAAAGAAGAATACTGAAAGCAAGAGAGAAATGACTCACCATATGCAAGAGATCCTCAACAAGATTAACAGCTGATTCCTCATCAGAAACCACAAAGGGCGGGGGCAGTGGGGTGACATATTGCAAGTAATGAAAGAAAAAGGTTAGGGCACCCCAGTTGGATAAGCATCTGACTCTTGATTTCAGCTCAGGTCATGATCTCACGGTTTGTGAGATTGAGCCCCGTGTCTGGCTGTGTGCTGACAGTGTGGAGTCTGCTTGGGATCCTCCCTCTCCCTTTCTCTCTGCCCCTCCCCTGCTCATGTGCTCTCTCTCAAAATACATATATAAACATTAAAGAAAATTTAAAAAATTAAAAACTATGTGTTAGAGAAACTGCATGTTTAAAAAATAAATAAAAATGAAAGGGGGAACGAAGACAATTCCAAATACTGAAAAAATGTGTCACTAGCAGATCTACTTTACAAAAAATACTAACGGTGTTTTTTCAGGCTGAGATGAAAAGTGATCAGATAGTAACTCAAATTCACATGAAATGAAGAGCACTGGTAAAGACAAAACAAGTGAGTTGAAAGCAAAAGTGTGGAGATGGCACACTGTAAACAGCAGAGGAGCTGTACTAATAGAAGTAAAAGACTTGCAGGTCAAAATTGTTCTTAGCAACATTGACAAGTAGTTTCTTATGCCAAAAGAGTCCATCTATCCAAAGGACGTGACCATTACAAACACATTTGTACTTAAAAACAGCCCCAAAATACACAAAGTAAGCACTGACAGAACTGAAAGGAGAAATATACAACTCAGTGACAACTGGAGAGTTCAGTCTCTCATTTTCAGTCATTGAGAGAACCCCCACAGAAGATCAACATGGAAACAAGATGTGAACAACACTATAAGCCAACTAGACCTAACAGATGCATACAGAGCAGAATAAACAGTCTTCTCAAGTGCATCAATAGGTCAAAGTCACAAGGACCCTTAAAAAAATTTTTTTAATGTTTATTTTTGAGAGAGCGAGCGAGTGGGGGAGGTGCAGAGAGGCACACACAGAATCCGAAGCAGGCTCCAGGCTCCGAACTGTCAGCACAGAGCCCAACATGGGGCTCAAACTCACGCACCGTGAGGTCAGGACCTGAGCCGAAGTTGGGAGCTCAACCGACTGAGCCACCCAGGCGCCCCACAAGGGCATTTAAAAATACATATGAATGCCATGGTTTGTGAGATGGAGCCTGCATCAGAGTCTGTTTAGGATTATCTCTCTCCCTCTCTCTCTGCTCCTCCCCCCTCAAAATAAGTAAGTAAAACATTAAAAAAATAGAAAATAAAAATACAGGTTAATGACAATGAAAACACAACATGCCAAAATTTACGGGATGCAGTGAAAGTAGTAATTACATGAAAATTTATGTCTGTAATTACATGTGTTAGAAAACAGATCTCGAATAATCTAACTCTCCCCCCACTAAGAAACTACACAAAAGAGCAGTCAAAACCAAAAGCAAGCAGAAGGAAGGGAATCCTAAAGATTGGAGTGGAAATACATGGAAGTAAAGAAAACAGAAAAAAAAACAAAATCAAAAGTTGGTTGAGAAGATAAATAAAATTGACCAACCTCAACTAGACTGCCAAAGATAAATACTCAAATGTCTAAAATTAGGAATGAGAGGACCCATCACTACCAATCTTAAAGAAGCAAAAAGGATTATAAGGGAAGAATATGAAAAAATGTATGTCAGTGAGCTAGACAGCGGAGATGAAATGCACAAATTCTTAAAAGATGAAAACTACTGACATCGACTCTAAAAGAAACAGAAAATGTAAGAGACATATAGCAAGTATGGGGACCTGGGTGGCTCAGTCGGTTAAGTGTCTGACTCTTGATTTTGGCTCAGGTCATGATCTGATGGTTGTGAGATTGAGCCCTGCGTCAGGCTCTGCACTCAGCGTGAAGCCTGCTTTAAGATTCTCTCTCTCCCTCTGTCCCTCCCCTGCTAGTGTGTGCTCTTTCCCTCTCTCTGTCTCAAGAAAGAAAAGACCTACAGCAAGTAAAAAGAAAAAATTAGTAATGAGTTCCCACAAACAACAGCCTAGAACCTGGGCACCTGGGGGCCTCGC